TCTTGATTATTTGCTTGATAGTGYCATTAGTTATAGCTGTATCAAAGAGGTGAATAAACATTATTAGTTATCTTCAAAAACAAAATCGGCTTGTGCTGATATTCATTGATTACTACTAGTGTAGGAACTGTTAYTCTGTTCTATCTTACTAATTACATACCGTTGTCTTGTAGCTTTAAAACTTTCATTTTCTATTGGAATAGGTTTCGTATCGATCCTGTGATGGAGCCCCAGTGGTTGCAGATTTCTTCTACAAGAAACTTCGCCTTGAAAAAAAAAACTTTCTTCCCAACGATATTTTGTTATAAGACGCGCAGAAGCATTATGTATAATGTTTTTTGAATTCTGTGCAATAATAACTACAAATTTTCGATATCTAAGCAGTTATTCCTCTTACATTACGATTGCATCATAAACTACACGTGATAGGCGCCATATTGGAACACTGTTGCTAGAACCCAGGCTCTCTTTACAGATGTGAAAGAAAACAGGTAGCCGTAAATAGCTTACTTTCTCAATCAGCATTCAGTTTGCATAGGTTGGCCAACTATTTRCAATACAATCCACAAATACCATTGACTAAGTGCTTTGAGCGGTAATGTACAAGCTTTTCAACTCACGCTGTTCACGCTGTTACGTTGGTTTCGTTGGAAAGCCACGGYAGGCAGTGCCGAGGGGGAGATATCAAAGAAAAACGGCAAATTGAACCTAAATTCATAGTTAAAACCACATCATAAGGTAAGACAAATGTTTTTTACTAATTTTTTTCTTTCAAAAATTTCGTATTTACATGCATTATCTGCATTATAGATATCGCTATAATCTACTAGTCAAATGCTTAGCTTGGGTTGCCTGTGTAAATATGCGCACTTATATAAATCGGAAACCCAGGAAATCATGGGGTTGATAACAAAGAACACTTTGACTAATATTCTTAAGAAGGGATGGCCGGAGAGCTATATCTCTTGATTTACTAAATAAATAAATAATAAATAATAAATAATATAAATCGGCGCGCGCACTTAGCWAAATGCGGATTACCTGTGGTATTACGTCATGTATGATCAAAATTTTATTTTCACCTCGATCCTCGAGGAACTCGCGACTGTTTTCCGAAAGGTCTCGAAGTCTATAACAATACTGTTACATCGCCAGATCTAACCACCTCAACTACTCGCCAGATTTCAAACCACAACACCTATTTGATTCCATCTTCCGAGAGATGAAAGCTGCGATCCCGAGCTGCGGCAGTGTTTTCATCGRTCCGGTRAAAGGCATTCCATCCGAGTAAGAATGTTACCGACCTTTAMACGCGCGCACCTCGCAGCTATTACAAAAACCCAAGTCTTCCCAGCAATACTCAGACACTCTTGGAACTGAAATACTTTAATTGCCTTAGACTGAGTAACTATTATAAATAATTTCAATTTGTTCAGTACCAATGGAATGATTTATTTGAGATAAATAATTTCACTTTATTGCTTAATAATATGCTTACGCTTGATATAATTAGACCAACTGTCTAATATTTGCTTGGTATAGTTGCATATATTTATGAAGGCTCGTTTATGCTTGCGCCGATTCGACTAACGCGGTAATCACCACTTTGTTATCGCACAACTAAAATCGTACGTGTAAACAGACCTGCGATTGTTACGACGATGGAAAATCGCAGCAAAGTTGCAGTCAATTTTCAATGTTCGAAACTCAGGCGATGGTCACGCCAGTGTAAACGGGCGTGGAGTCTTCACTGTCGGCTGGTTTATACTTGTATACGCACATAGACTCAACCACAACCTTTTTGCAATTGACTGTGTATTGATATACAGTTTAAAGGTTTAAAC